CATAATAAACTTAAAGTATAGACAAGGTGTGAATCAGAATCAGAATGTCCTTTATTCGCCAAGTGTGAGCAAACACACAAAGGTTTATTCATTTTTTTCTGGAGCTCAGGTATACATATATCAACACAAGAAGAAAGATTTAAATAAATACTAAATGAAGTAAACAATACAAGTTATAAAGTTATATACACACATCTAGATGGTTTATGTGCAAAATATGCATTGTTGACTCATTGTTGACTTTTTAACTATAAATAAGAACATTTTTAAAAGTATATAAAAGTATTTACAATTACAGTAAATTGCTTTATAGCTTAAAAATAAATGAATATAAAATTAATAACAAATTTACTTTCAAACTCAAACCTAAACCTGTCTAAAACTGATTAGTGCCTTTTAAAACATATATTCTCTATTTGACATTCTTTAACGAATAGCTTTAAGATCTCACTGACAACCTAGAATGGCATAAAACCTCAGATCATGTTCAACATAAAGATTCAGCAGTCTATAAAAACGTAACACTTTCCATGCAAAACTTCCAGATCAAACATGATATGCCATTATCCGCGTTATCTGAAAAGAGCCCCACCTCTCTGAGCTTCTTTGGGACGTGAAGTTCAATGACAGCCCTGGCTACAATGAGCACATTTCTCAAGCTCGCCTCCTGAGCACGAGAGCAATGCACAGCAGATGCCTTTTTATTTGCTTTCACGCCTCGCGCAGTTGATTCAGTGATTCGGTAGCCCACAAGAGCATCAGTTCACTATCGGCCATAGAGCAGAATTCACAAAGCTTTTACTTGGAATATCTTTTAAAAAAAAAGCGACAAGAAGAAGAGCGCGACGCATCACCGTCTTGAGGAAGAGCGCGAAAAACGTCGCGTCAAAGGTAAACACAAATCCTCTTCAGCTTTTTGAATGCGCTTTTAAAGTTTTAACTATTGTGTGAACTGGAAAATATTAGGGTTAATAATTGGATAGCACCACAGTGTCTTATTTTTACGTTTAATTCCTCATTTCAGGTTTATAAAACGAATAATATCGACATCAGTTGTGGGTTATGATAGAAGCTGTTTGCGTTTCTTGTAATGTTATCTACCTTGACAAGAAGGCATTTATGCTGAGTTGAAATATTTGTAAATGATTAATTCGACTATAACGTTTAAAATGCATATTTGAACTTTTTTGTTGCTCTGCATGTGTTGCTTAAGAAATGTATCTTTTATTAATGTTTATAATGTTTTTATCACCGTTGTGTATGTCAGTATAATATGTGACAATAATGTTTGAGATTTCTATTTGTATTTTTGAGTTTGAGAGTTTAATATAAATGTCGGTCATTAATTTAATTTTGCAATGGGAAACTTTTGAATCACTTTGATTTCACTCCAACATTTAAAACATTTAAAGCAGCAGTTAAATTAGGCCTACGTTTAGATAACCTAAATAAATAAGCTGGTTATTAAATAAGTGGCAAACAGTAAGTGACAAGGCTATATATTATTGTACTGCAATGAGTAGGTTGTTTAATTGGCAGTTGTACTCTTTTGTCCTGCATTTTATATTGTCGGACATTTAAAAATAAACGTATCTCATTAAAAACAACAATTAATTCTTCTTCTTTAGATCGTAATCAAAGTTGTTTTCTTATTTATTTAAATTAGGCATTTAAATTTTACCTACATCATATCGTATTTGAGCTTTGGGGGGGATCTTAAAACTTTTAGAAAGTTATTAATTTTTAACTCAGAAACTAATGCTTCGAGAAATCATTTGGTTTTTGTCAGTGAACTCTTCTAAACATGTCTGAAGATTTTTTATTTGTTATCTAAACAACATGTTTTATCCATGGTAAGGACCTTTTGTGGAGTGGAAATGCTTTTAAAATGACTTTATGCAACTATTAATGAACCTTAATTATTTAAGAGTAAGTCGCTGTGGCAAAAAAGTCATAAATAATTTCGTTTTTTTCAATAATGTTCAGTAGTGCTACAAATGATTATTATAATTTCACGAACATGAATGAAACTATCAATCAAGCTCTCACAAGGCATGAAGGACACTAAAAACAAACCATAATTTATGTCTGTTCAACGCTAAAATATGTTGCTGGCCATTTCAGGGATTGACTGATGTTGCAGAGCGAGAACAGAAAACAGCTAGAAAACAGACAATTCCCTTGAGTGTTGGATAAGGTATGTGAACCAATATACACTGCCACATAATGACTCAGGATCTACAGAATTAATATATATTTTTTAATGGATAAACAGTTAATTTATTTTTAATTGCTAGTATTTAATCTGATGAATGTTTAAATTAATCAAAACAGTCTCCATCATTACCTAAGTATGAATCCATTTGACATCCTTTAGCAAAAAGGCATTATTCGGTGATTCATTGCTTCCATGATAATTGCGATTCTAAAATTCAAATGGATATTTGAAAAGCAATTAATTATATATTTTACAACCTATGGATGGCACCACACTGTATCGACGTCTAGCCCTATTTACCTGTCTGATACTGTCCTCTGTATCACAGTTCAATCAAAAGATTCTTGGAGTCTGATTACCTTACAGTAACAATATTTATATATAGTTCCCATTATAGTATACTGGAAGTCAGCATATTGAACAATACGCAAGTAACAATTTTATACATTTGCTTGACCAAGTAATCAACATCTACAAATACTCTCCTCTGATGAGATTGTATTTAAATGGTATTGCTTCACAGATAAAGGAGCATTTAGTCTTGCAATTTTCTGATAGACCTCCAGCATTAAATAAGGATTATAATGTAGGACAGTGCACTTAGGCCTATTTAGACCGCAGTGTACTCTGGGACTTTCTGTTCATGACAATTATAGGCCAGAAAGGAGTCTTCAGTTTGCACACAGTTAGCAGATATGTTTCATTTAACCAAACCGGCTTTGAAAAAAAAGTGAAGGCATTTCATTTCATTTTATTTTATTTCTTCCAAAAAGAAAAAAAAATGCCTGAGGTATATTTGGTTAGATGATGGATTTGGTGTGTAATGTCCTATTCTTGTAGCTATTAGACTTCCTCTTTCTGTATTGACCTCGACAGGTCACATAAGTAATTTTTTAAACGCATGATTAATTTCACAGTAGGGTTAACATACATATAGATGAAGTTCAATGCATCAAGCAGACACATCTAGCACTTAACATAAATGGCTAACCTTGTTAGGTACTGATTATCATCAGCGGTGGTCCAATATAATGGATAGTTAAAATAGTCTGTGTTATTATTGAGCTTTATGAACAAATCACTCTCTTAATAAAGCATAAACATAGCTATAATGCATATGATTATCTTCACCTATATAAATATGAAAATCTGTAGTATATTTTAACATTATATGAGATTACGTTTAAAGCGTGATGAAAGTTATTTTACAGTGTTGGCAATTAATTTTGAAGTGTATCATATTTTTCTTTTCATATTCCAGTAATGGGATGAGAGGTCGTATGAGGCTATTGGGAGACAAAAGCCAGCGGGATGGGATCTAAATGAGGTTTAGGGGGCCACAGATGGGACCCCTTTTTCCCTGTCAATTTGACTCGGCTTTTCAAAACACTTGACCTTTTGTACTAATTCTATTATCACGGCAAAATGAAAACGTCACAATTAGGCCCAATGTTGCGCGAAATGTCATCAGCGTCTTTAAAATATTATCATATAGCTTGTAATGGGGATATTTACAATAAAAAACGCAAATTTCGAAAAGAGGGAATTTTAATTCGTGGTATTAAAATATATGATGCCGCTTTTAACAATTGTAATTTTTCATATTCGGATCAATAGTGCATCCGCAATTTTGCTATTACTGAGAAATGTTATTGATGAGACAGTTGATGTCATCGGCATCAAGCGATTTGTTTTATACTCAGATGTGGTCGATTCAGTACGTACAGCCCATGTATTTCCCTCATAATGATGAAAAAATGACATGCCGACATTTGTCGCCTTTCGCTTGATTTATGATCGCGTGGAAATTGGCTCAATACAGCGTGACAGTTTGGACAGTTTGAGTGTGACAATGCAGATGCTGGTAACGAAATAATAAAGCACAAACAACTACCTGACTGCGCATTACACTTTTAAAGCGTCATATTAAAGACGGATAAGAATAATTAAAAACTAAATTTTTTTCCACTTTATTTTACATCATGCCTTAAATTTATTAAACTCTTAAAAATAGCATATTTTTTCTGTATTGGCATCAATGGTTCCATGAAAAATCTTGACGTTATTGATTTATTGAAATGATTAAGTGGGGAAAATGTTATTTAGCTTATTCTTTAGACGTTATTTATAGTATGAAGAAAAATGTTATTTAGATTATTGCTTGGGGGGAACCTAAAAAACTGCACCACTATGAAAAAAACGCATTTTTGGTTCTTTATTTTTTTAGAGTGTATTCTTAAATATTCATGCATAGTTCAAAAATTATTCATAGTTCTTATTGAAAAAATAAACGATTTATACTCGTGCTATCGTATCTATATTTTAAACACAAAACTATTTGGTTAGGATCTGCGTGGTGTGATATTTAAAAATAAGATTAAATATATGAAACACTTCAGCTTGTTGTTTCTCTATACCGAAATAAACAAAACAAATTATTCTATATATTTTAAATGATGCATCATTTAGGCTACCTGTGCTCGGCGTGTTATGATAGGCTATTTAAATTAAAAGTAACACGTTTTACATAAAGAACACTTTCTCTTTTTTGTCTATTATACTGATTACACATGGGTCCTTCACGGGCGCTTTTCTCCTAATTCAGAAATGAGCTCTGCGCGCGCGGCATCACCCGGGGCCCCTGCGGCTCCTGTCTGAGCTTCTCTTTAGCGTGTTTGAGTGGCAGTTAGTGAAACGTCATTGGCTCTTCAGAGGGGCAGAGCCACGCCAATCACTCACATCCAGCTCCGGCAATAAGAGCCAGTGTGTGAGGCGCGCGCTTATTCGCTCTGTCTCTACTCTTACTACAGTTACTGGACACGATAAAGGAGATTGTTTCTGTTTGTAAAGTTCGTGGTCTCGCTGGCCGTTTTCATTAATTTCTGATAGCGAGATTTCGTATGTGGAATATAGGCTATTCGACATGATTTGTGCTCTGTAGCGTTTGGAAAACTCCGACAGCGCGCGGAGGTAAGAAAAATGCAAACTTTTCATCTTCTCCGGGTCTGACTGAAAATGACAGTTTTGTTTAGGTTTAGCCGTTTAAAGTGACTTGTGCTCGGCGAATCTGATGACACACTTATATGCTTTTCTGTTATTATTAATATTATTACAGTAATATTTACCTATAGTATGAAGCATCATCTAAACATTAAAAAGCGACGTTCTATATATTTTGTGTGGAGAAAAAAAGGCTGACAATTTACGGCTAAATCTTAAATTATCTGTCATTTCGCGACGTTGTAGCCTTTTATATTCAATAATTATTAAATATATCCAGGGTATTTTAAAACGAGTACAATAGCATGTTAAACATATTACACAGATTGTTTATATTAAAGCAACAAAAAGTTGTAATTTCTCATAGCGCTTTAAGGAGCAAATAATTTCGTTGGCGCGCTGATAGCCAATATATATTCGTTTTAATTAATTCGTTTTCTCTAATTTGCAAGCATGTTGATTAGCATTTTTCACATTTTCTTTTTTCACATCCAGATCTACAAATATTTCAAAGCAGTCATTAATTCTCCATATATTTATATATTTCAATTTCATACATTAAATTCGTTTATTTATACAGCAAATTAAAATTAACTGTAGCTGTCAAATTGCTGTACATTAAACAAAAAAAAAGAAAGAAAGAAAACTAACAAAATAATTATACTGAAATAAAATAATGCTATTTATTAATTATGCCATATATGGTTATAACCAAGTTCTTTAATGGCAGGCCCACTTTATATATAAATTAATACAGCTGAAACTTTTTTTTTCTATTGACTCTTTTGAATTAATTTTAAAAGCTAAATTAATCTTTTATGATGTGTTTACAGACAAAATACTCCAGTCAGTGGTCTCCTTAGCATGGACAAGAGTCTTCTGCCTGGACCAAAAGACATTGTGATGGCAACCCCACCAAGTTCATTTCAGCAGGAGCCCCTCACACCTCCAAGATCCTCACTTAAGCCCAACCAAGTTGGGCAGGTCATCCTCTACGGGGTACCAATTGTTTCACTTGTAATTGACAATCAAGAACGGCTATGCCTGGCTCAGATATCCAACACCCTGTTAAAGAACTACAGCTACAATGAGATCCACAACCGTCGAGTAGCTCTGGGCATCACCTGTGTGCAGTGCACTCCAGTCCAGCTTGAGATCCTTCGGCGGGCGGGCGCCATGCCCATTTCATCCCGGCGCTGTGGCATGATAACCAAACGGGAAGCGGAACGGCTTTGCAAGTCTTTCCTGGGTGAGAACTCTCCACCCAAACTGCCAGACAACTTTGCGTTTGAAGTGATGCATGAATGTGCTTGGGGCTGCCGGGGAAGTTTCATCCCAGCACGTTACAACAGCTCCAGGGCTAAATGCATCAAGTGCTCCTACTGCAATATGTACTTCTCCCCGAACAAATTCATCTTCCACTCACACCGCACACCCGAGGCCAAGTACACACAGCCAGATGCCGCCAACTTCAACTCCTGGCGTCGGCACCTTAAACTTGCAGAAAAAACACCACCCGATGACCTGATGTTTGCCTGGGAGGATGTAAAAGCCATGTTCAATGGAGGAAGTCGTAAGAGAGCACTTCCTTCCTCTCACTGCTCATCTATGAGTGCCGTCAAAGCCGTAAACTCAGTTCTGCCCCACATGATCTCTCCTGAACTGACCCAGAAGAGGGGTCGATATGAGGATGATGATGATTTGGACTCCAACAGCCTTTCACCTCGAAAAGCACCTCGCAGTTACCCGGTCATTCCTGTCCCAAGTAAAGGTTTTGGGATGCTGCAGAAGTTCCCAACTACTTCACTATTCCCCAGCCCCTACACCTTCCCTGCATTTGGCCTGTGCCCGCAGAAGAAGGACGACAGTGAGGCAAGCAATGGACAGAAAAACAACAGCCTCTCGGGTCTTCTTTGGCCTGGCCGCAAAGACGCTTTTTATCCCCCTTTCTGCATGTTTTGGCCCCCAAGGGCAACAGGGGGTATTCCAGTACCCACTTACCTGCAACCCCAACCCAATGCTTTGTCCTCCCTCACAGAAAGCCCATCTCTCAGACAAGCTTTTTTAGATCTGTCTGAACAGGGCGATGCTGGTTCAGGCTTGGATACAAACCCCAGGTCTGGGCTGTTTGACAGTGACTGCCCACCTGTGACCTCAGAACTACGACCTGCACCAGAAGGCTGGCTAAAGCTGCTAGACACCCCCTCCCTTCAAGCCCGCAAGGCCAGTTACCACTCTGCCTTCCGGCCAGTGGTCAAAGACACAGAAAGCATCGCAAAACTTCATGGCAGCCTGGAGGACTTCGGGCCCGAGAGGCACCTTTCTCCAGGAACCAGCTGCAGCTACCAAAGTGACAGTGCAGAAAGCGATGAGGAGCAAGAAGTGGATGTGGAGACGAAACAGGACGAGGAGCAGGAAGACTTTGGCAGCCGCGTAGCGCAGACACCACCGCAGCCGTGCGGCCTGCACATGCGTGGGCTTCCTGACAGCCAAACAACAGCCGAACAGGCCAAAGAACTAGCCTCCTTCCCAAGCATACCCGCTGAGACCCCGGCAGAGGACAAACCAGGCCTCGCTGTCAGTCCGCCCACTATCCTCAAAGTCCCCAGCCCTGTTCACGGCTCGCTGGAGGAAAGCGCCGCGTACAGAAATGTAAATATTCCCTCCAGGCACTTTAACTAATTATTTAAATGCGGGCCATCGGCTGGCAGGGTCCATATGCATAACAAGATTGATAGCCTGTGTTCCCTGCAGAAATGAAATATTCAGAGCTCTTTGATCCCTCCTAATAAGCCCAGTCGTGTTTTGTTTAATGGCGACATTATGTTTGCTCCCCTTTGTCACTTCTGCCTATTAGCCCTTTTAATCTTTAACCCTCTGACGCTACATTAACAGACAGATCGAGAAGAGCGACAGCAATTGTAACGGGAATTCTTCAGCAATTAGCCTCAGCATGCACATGCGCACACACACACACACACACTCTCACACACAAAGGGGCGTGTTGATTTATCTAAAGAAACTCAGTAGCACGACTCAGCCAAACTTACATCAGGATCATATATAAAACATAACAGCATTGTCATTCTCAAGGCTAATCAATTCTGTGCTTTTGGCTGACTGATATATTTTGTTGCTCTCTGTTCAACCTTTGGCCTGGTGTTATGAATCAGTTCTAATCAGACACCGCTGGTGTTTTATGGTTACAGGCTCACAAGAGCAGAGACGATGGGCTGCCAGCTTACGCAACCAAAAACAAAACAGCCGCCTCAGGTGAGAAATGAGTTTAAAGTGAACATCATACACATTTAAAGGTTGCACCTTATTTTACATTATTACATTGTACTTACAATGTAAAGATTGTTTAAGATTACTTCTGTACATGGGTTAAGGTTATGTTCAGGGGGAGGTTTAGGCATATTAATTAGCTAATAAGTACATAAAATAAGTCAAGTTATGCCACAGAATACTTTTTTTCTTGTTGTTCACCAAAGAAGCTTGTTTTTTTAGTGTGAAGAATATTTTAATAATCTAAAGAAGCTTTTTCCACTATAAAGAACCTTTTAATGGTTCTTCATGGAACTATTAATGGCAGTAAAGAAGTTTTATTTCTTATTCATTACGTACATGTGAAACAGGCCTGTAAAATAAAATGCTCCCCATTTGAAAGTAAATGCATTTACCAAATTAAATGTTCAATAATTTTAAAAAAAAGATCACAATTTATGCTTTCCATATAAACACTTCATTAAGGTGTATACATGCATTCACATTTTTACATTTTCTTTCAGACGACAACAAAGAGCAAAGCAGCTTTTTCGTTTCGGAGACAGAGACATCCGCACCGGAATACTGGCGAGAAAACCCAAGTAAGAGCGCACGCCACTTTATCTCCATTGCACATCCGCCACTTACACCAAGAGGGCCGCAAAATAATTTGCGCCGCACAGCTAGCCCATTCCTGCAAGGATATTAGGATTAATCTAAATATAAAAGATACGGGATGGAATATACTCTCGCCGCACTCTTAAAATGGAGCAGCTCTCTCCACAATGTCATTGGGAAAATGTGTTCTGTGGGGAGCCATAACAGTTCAGCAAGACAATCAGCTCAACGCCAGGAAGGTGACAATCACCATTTGAACAATATCAAACGGAAATAATTGCCTTTTGCTTGGCAAAATCTTCCATTAGAAAGATCATAGCTTATTGCCTTTTATCTGTCAGAAAGACATTAAAAGTGTTTTATGACATCTATGGCAACATTTATATTATCCGGCCGATAATGATCTCCTCATATAAGGTATAATATATTTGAAAAAATTACATGAAACAAATTAAATGAAACCACCTTTGCCTGATTGCTAAACGTCTCCGAGGGGCTACTGGGAAACGTGATTAGAACTTCTGATTTTACAAAGTCTAACGGCAGTGTCTTAAAGATAGTTCTGTTTCTTGGGAGGGAAGGGGGAAAAAATAATCTAATTTTCCATTTATATAATGCAAACTGCCTTGGCTTTGACTATTCACGGTTAATTGACTGTCAAACGAGGTTGTTATCCTCAGGCACTGTCTGCAAATTTGCTTGTCAAATGAGACAGAGAGAGGAGGAGAGCGAGAACAAGACCGCTTTCCAAATGAGGAACGCCTTGTTCGGCTTAAGGAGGCAAGACGGGAAATGAGAGGAGAGAGAGAGAGACAGTAGAATAAGGGAAGATTATACCTACATGCTGGATCACTTCATTTGAGCCATTTGAGATACAGACACAAAAACACAGTACCATGCGAATTTACAGACCCAAAAGTGTTTAGATTTATTTCCTGATTTACTATAGCACTGAAGCTTTTTTTTTTAATCTGCTATTTTTACAATTTCACTTATTTCAGGCATTCTGCATTTGTGTTTGAATTTAGATGCATTTGAACCCACTAATCATATGCTATGATGCACTTTCTGAATTACATCTTTACCATAAATATGGAAATTTATTACCATTTATTTAACCAGAAAAATCATAAATGTTATTTCACTTTGTAAGCCAAACATGCTCGTCTAAAAAAAACATGTAATCGCACTGACATCTACTGGCTGCTCTTGGTATTACATGTGTTTCAGACCGTATTTTGAATTGACGGATGCTTTATACTTCCTAAGTATTTGAATTTAAAAATTGCTATTTATTTTGCTCAGCAGACCAAAGTCAAGAGGCAAACTCTCCTGTATCACTCAAGAAGGATGTTGAGAACATGGAAAAAGGTAAGCTCACAAACAGATTGAATACACTATGTTACAGTAAGATTCATATAACATTAAAACTAAGGGAAAATAAAGATACCACTTCAGGACTTTAACTTACTGTATGTGTTTGAGTGACATGTAATTTTGTTTGACATTTCTTCCATTTGTAAAATAAATATGGAGTTTTTAAACTTTTTTTCTTTAAAAAAATAAAGAAAGAAATAAGCAGACATGGATATTTATTTTTTTAGACAACCCAGTACTGATGTCCTAACATCACAAAAGTTCAGAAAGCTTGTTTGATGGAAAAATAAAATTAACCGGTTGTCATTTTCTGAAAGTAAAAAATATATATCTAAATTACAATATTTCTATTTAAAATTTGGAAGATATGTTTCATAAGATTGAACAAATATAATAATGTTACTGAAACACATACCTATAGTCAATTTTATGCATCTAGAGAATCTGATTTTAACATTTTAATTTATATAATGTTTTCACTTAAATATTGACACTGAAGATTTCTAAATACTTCATATTTACATTGCAGCAATAAATTAAACTGTAAATAAAATTTTACATGTATTACAATATGTGTTTTTAAAAATACATTAATAATTAGCTATTATAATTAAATATTATATTTACTGATTTGTCTGTTTACTGAGTGGCTTAAAAATCTTAACCTGAACATCTGACTATTGTTTTTTAAAAAAAGACTGTTTAAAATAGCTTTTCTGTAATTGCAACAGATGAAATCATTCATATTTTGGGCACAACATGAATTGGAGTCTAATCTTGATTTACTGTGTTATTTGTCCTTCAGAGGAACTCCAGAAAGTTCTCCTTGAACAGATAGATTTACGGAGGAGACTGGAGCAGGAGTTTCACGCTCTGAAAGGCAGCTCTCCATTTCCAGTTTTCCGTAAGTGTCCTTACTTCATTTCTCAAATCAGCATAACACCATTTTTAAGTAATGTTAATTTCTTTTGTAGGAAACGTAGCACAATATTTTTTTCATACAGAATAACATTAAAAAGATTTTATGTTTATAAAAACATATTCAGCCAAAAAATATAAATCTGTAACTCCTGATGATACATTTGAGATCTTATAAAACACACCATTCTGTGCATTAAACTGAATATTATTTACATTATTTTTTTACCTTTTATCTGTCAGAATTCATGATAGTCTGAAACATGAGCTTCATAACACTTTAATGTGTTCTTTTTTTTATCAAAATGACCACAGTTCACAAAAAATGTTTTCTCTAGTGAAACTATCAGTCATATCAGAGAAAGAAATGTATATATACATTTAAACTACTTATATTTGTATCTTATGTGGTTTATCAATGTCGGGAAGTTTGCATCACAATATAGCTGTAGTTATATAACCTATAATTTTACTCTTTTCTGAAAATGATTGTTTATTTTATAGAAGACCTATATTTTAGGCAGAGGTTGTGTGGATTACTTTAAAGCTGCCTTAATGTGGATTTTGCACATTAAAAATGATCTACAGCTCACTGAGGCCAACTAACTACCATTAGATTGAAAGAAATTATGTTTTATGTTATGTTTACCTTCAAAACCCTATCTTTAGCTAAAATAAGAAAGTACACAATCTGTTTTTTATAACACCTTTTCACTTAGGCTTTTCATGAAAAAAAAATCCATATAAAGAAAACTTCAGCGTAAAGAAAGCATCTGAAAATACTTTCATTTTTTTTTTGTAGATTTTAATCGCAAAGCATATTTTAAAGGAGATTTTTTTTTTCAAAATTAGTTTTTTGATTTCCAGCACTGAGCCATAAATTTCCACTTAAACATCAATTACATTTACTAGACAGCACAGTTTTATTCATAATCTATATTCTGAAAGTCTTTACTGGTGGATTTGTTTGTGACATTTGGAATTACTGAATCATAAAAAGAGATTTGCGTAAAAAAGATGAAAAAAGGGAGATTTCTTAAAGTTCATGTGAACTGGAAGTTAATGAGACTTTTATTTCAGGATGTTGATGGATTTCCAACTGAAATTGAATATTTAGTAGGGGGCGGGGCTTTATTTTTTCACCTAGAAGCACCTGTGATTCCAATATAAGCAAATGGTCATACTTTGATTGAAGAATACCAAAACAACCCCCGCTCCCCCCCAAGTTGATTACCTTGCTTGAATTGTTCACTTTAAAAATAACAGTGTACACTGTTTTGATTTTACATGGCATGGTGAACAATAATATTTCTTTAATCCTGACCTGTGGTGTCTTAAATGTGTGTGTATATACGGTACCATACAGTGACCATAAGATGTCTTTATTTGACGTTTTACATATTCATGTTCCACAGATAACTTTCAGGACCAAATGAAGAGAGAACTGGCGTACAGGGAAGAGATGGTACAGCAGTTACAGATGGTAAGGAGCTTTCTGTTAACACAGTCTGCAATAAGGTCACCATCTCCCATATGATTAATTAGCTCGTGACTTACAAGCAGCACCCTATTACATATGCAAATAATCTGCTGTATATATTATCTGAAGAGGAAGAAAAATCAGCGAGATCTGGAGTCTTGTGCTTTCTAAAACTGTAGAAAACATTGCTTATCGGTGTAACATGCATCACTGCTGCATGTGTGTGTTTAACAGACTGACGTTTATTTTTTTACAGAATGAAAAATCAGAACGACAATAATAACAATGAAGTGTACAAGATCTCTGATTTATTTTGCTCTTGTATTTGCATATTTAAAGGCAATTTTCTCACCAAAATTCAAACTATGTCATGGTTTACTCATCCTGCACTTGTTCCAACCCTGTTGGAGTTTCTTTCTTTGGAAGAAAAGGAAGAAACTTTGAAGAAGGTTGGGGGAAAAAAGCCATTTAATTCCATAGAAAAAGTCTTAGTAGCTTTTTTTTTAAAGAACATTCTTTATAAAATTGTGTTTTGTGTTAAACAGTATAAAGAAACTGATAAACTGATGTGATAAATATTAAACGCATCTCTGAAATAACTGATTCTCATTGGTCAATTATGACATTTGGAAGTAGGTTATTCCCAGATAACTACCAATTAAACTAAAGACAAATGGCCAAAAATCATATTTTAATATATATCATATTACATTTGGCATCGAATTGCAACTGAATAATTAATAATGCATAATGATAACATAATAAGTAAGTTACTGTATGCTTCATAAAGCTGTATTCATATAGTTTAGTTTTAGTGCAAGTAGCCTCGTAATAAGAACGATAATGTACATCCAGCCGCATGGATTATCAGTTCAATGTACATTATCACAATTATTACGCTGTGCCTTACATGATGCATTGCTGAAAACGGTATTATTATTTAGTTACTGATCTGAGAATTCAGCTCAATTAAAAGCATTTAATTTTTTTTTTCCTGAAAATCCCCTCATCCAATCCATTAATTCACAACACATCATCAAGGAGATTGATTATGCATTAGTACATGAGCCCAAATGTTATATATATTTTTGGTGTATGGAATAAAACCACTTGCATTCATCAAGGATGCTTCAAATTAATCAAAAGTGACAGTAAATACATTTATAACGCTACAAAAATATTTTGAACTAGATTCACTAAAGAACTCTGAAAAATAAAACGCCACAGTGTCCACAAAAACATTTTAACATTGACTGTAATGAGAATTATGACTTTCTTGAGCATTAAATCAGCACATTACAATCATCTCTGAAAAATCACGAGTCACTGGAGACTGGACTAATTGATATTAACTGATTCCATCTTTATTTTTCAGATTCCCTATGCAAACATCATTAGAAAAGAAAAAGTCGGGACACATCTAAACAAAAGCTAAATGGTAAGTGTCAAAGATATTCGATAAAATTGCGATAAGATAAGAAATATTATGTGTGGTATTATTAGCTGATTTTAGTTTAGAATTTACAACTTTACTGTTTTTTGGCAATACTTTGGCAATTCATTGTTAGTTTAATAAATAAGTTAACCATGTTTCAACTTTTTTTTAAGTTATATGAGATTAAACTCAATATCTTAGCAACAAGTAAAATTTTAATTGACTGAATTTGTTTTATGGAGAGTTTTATGGACTCTCAAATGATGTTTATTATTAAATTTTTTAAATATTTTATATACCATTTATATTTTAAAACAGCATTGATTTGCCAACCATTATTAATTTAATGTGAATATTTAATAACTGTACGAATTGTTGTTTTAGCTCATTTCATCTACAACAATATCAAGCTGCTCTCAACATCATCAGACACAATGAAGTGAAATCATCTCAGTCTCCAAGGAGTCGTCAAACAAAATAAAAATAACCTCTTCGCCGGATCAAAATATCAGCACCTCAACAATGTCCATCTCTCCAATGAAACCAAATGGCATCAGCGACTGACATACACTTCAGTGCATCTACCAATGATTTAGACTTCAATTGACTTATTTATCTTGTGTACAGAAACCCTTCTTTGATTATTTATGGACTTATTTAAGTTTATTTATGACCCATGCATTCCCTGGTTTGTTGATAACAGCGTACTGTACAGTTCTATTAGCCCGAGGTTGTAAATGTACAGAAGGAGCTTGCTTTGGAAGAGCATCTCAAAGTGTGTCAACTTTTCTCGTTTTGCCTGTTTAAATACAACACTGACATAAACACGAGTTTAAAAAAAAAAAAAAAAAAACGTTATTATAAACTGTTCATGCAAATGTATTTAAATATGTTCTTGTAGTTTCTCTACTATTTATGTGGATAATTAAAGTCTATACAATGAATAAGACTGGACATTCTTAATTTCTTTGAATTTTTCTTTGTTGTATTATTTATTAATTTTATTATTTATTTTTTAGATGACCTTTAGGATTTTTTTAATCATAGACCTACTAGCTAGCTTGACAATACTTGCTAGCTTAAGAGTCCATTTAGAACAATAATTATTTAAAAATTTGAAGAAATGTTATTTACTGTTGATAGAATAAAACAAAAATTACCATTTGATCAAACCCACACCTAAAAAATACAGTAAATGTATGGAAACTGGTCACTATTATTATTTAATATCTGTAATCCAGGGCGACACCATGGCTCAGTGGTTAGCACTGTCACCTCACAGCAAGAAGGTCGCTAGTTCAAGTCTCGGCTGGGTCAGTAGGCATTTCTGTGTGTGGTTTGCATGTTCTTCCCATGTCCGCGTGGGGTTCCTCTGGGTGCTCCGGTTTCCCCCACAGTCAATTGGCAATTAACAAGACATGCGCTACAGGTGAGTTGAATGAACTTAATTAGCCGTAGTGTGTGTGTGTGTGAATAAGTGTGTATGTGTGTTTCCTAGTACTGGCGTGCGGCTGAAAGGGCATCCGCTGTGTGAAACATTCATTCATTCATTCATTTTCTTGTCGGCTTAGTCCCTTTATTAATCCGGGGTCGCCACAGCGGAATGAACCGCCAACTTATCCAACAAGTTTTTATGCAGCGGATGCCCTTCCAGCCGCAACCCATCTCTGGGAAACATCCACACACACATTCACACACACTCATACAATACAGACAATTTAGCTTACCCAATTCACCTGTACCGCATGTCTTTGGACTGTGGGGGAAACCGGAGTACCCGGAGGAAACCCACGTGAAGGCAGGGAGAACATGCAAACTCCACACAGAAACGCCAACTGAGCCGAGGTTCAAACTAGCGACCCAGCGACCTTCTTGCTGTGAGGCGACAGCACTACCTACTGTGCCACTGCCTCGCCCCTGTGTGAAACATATGCTAGATAATTTGGCGGTTCATTATGCTGTGGCAACCTCTGATTAATAAATGGACTAAGGTGGAAATAAAATGAATGAAACTTGCCGTAGTGTATGTGTGTGAATGAGTGTGTATGGATGTTTCCCTGTAGGGCCGTGTGATTGAATCGCAATCGCAATTTGAAACGTCATGATAAACTAATCTCAAGAGGCTGTATTATGAAATATAATATACATAGGTATTATATATATGCAGGGCATCTGCTACGTAAAAATTTGCTGGATAAGTTGGCTGTTCATTCCGCTGTGGCAACCCTGAATTAATAAAGGGACTAAGCTGACAAGAAAATGAATGAATGAATATATGCAAATGCATATATACAAATGCAGGACTGCGTATGCGTGTGATAGCCTTACTAGCCAATTAAGTGAACACACTTTCGTTCTGCCCAATCAGAATTGCGCAACCGAACTAAAACAAACAGGAAAGTGCGGACAATTGCGATAATGTTGTCTCCTGCTTCAGAAGCATTAATAGACAAATATCTAAGAAAAACAGGACATCTGTAATATGGGAATATTTTGGTTTCATTGTCAAAGTCCAAAAAACTAAAAAAATAAAAAATAAATAAATAAAAAAACAGGTAAGTTTTAAAAGCTGTTGCCACGGCTTACAGAATACTGACCTGAAGTTTGACTACAAAATTACATTACAAATTGCAATATCTGTAACAATTACATATTTTTACATATTTTTCCCAAAGCCCTATTTCCCAGTATGGATTGCAGCTGAAAGGGCATCCACGGTGTAAAACATGTTGAATGAGTTGGCGGTTCATTCCACTGTGGCGTAATAAAAGTCAAAGGAAAATGAAAGACTGATCCATAATCCATGTATAAAGCTATTATATCCTGCATATTATAAGCTAACAGTGTCTTAGTGAAATAAAATAATGCCATAATTACTTTCCATAAGCAAAGAATACAGCAATAGGTCCTAAAAAAAGAAAATATATTTTCAATTATTCCGCTATTGAGGATATGACGCAGTGTTTGGCTCACACACAGTAGCCTACATGTATATAGAAGCAGTTGTACTATTATAATAGTTATATAAGAAATATATAAGTAATATAACATTATGCTTTACCTATAAACTCCTGTCAATCAAATCTTCCGGCGGCGCGCGTATGACGTGAGTTTGTTCGCGACGCAAGCCCTTGTACGTCAGCACAGTGCCAACATGGCGTTCACACTGTACGCATTGATTCAAACAGCGATATTATTCACAAATGCCATCGCTGTTCTTCACGAAGAGAGGTTTCTCAGCAAAAGTAAGTTATCGTGAATGTATTCAAAAAAGTTTGACGTTATGTTTATTTTGTAATTTAAATGCATGCGTTGCCATCTGGTTTGTTAGCTTGGAGTTTACGTCTCCAAATGGGAAGCAACCTAACGTTATGGAAATAAGAGGATGTTTGTTATTTTTATTGGCGGTTAGCTCATAATTTTTTTTTTGATATCAAGTGAACGATTTAGAGTTTGTTATTAAATAGTTCGCCATTGATTTAACTAATTTTATCTCCACCTGTTTACAAGTGTCAAATAGTTTGACTAAATCTACGAATGAATTGCTTTAACGTTAACGTTACCAATAACATTTTAGGTGAAATAAAACTAGACATCCTATTAGCATATCTCAAAGATGACAGTGACAAAAATGAATGTACAGCTAATTTTTTTTATTATTATTATTGTTATTATTATTATTATGCTTTACATTTGTTACTTATTTCTTAATGTCAGTTACTTAACACATGACAGAATTGAAAATATTATCAATTACAAAAATTAACTTCATTTGGCCCCCTCTCACTCATTCCTTTTACTGTTATTACTGAACTATTTTAATAAATATACTTGAAACAAGAACAACGAGACATTTGAGATAGGGGTAAAGTTGGTTTTATATTCACACATTCGTTCATTTAAAAGTCTCTATATTGTTTACCATGTTACTTTGAATATTTGATCGAAATTAGCATGCAAGTGTGACTTGAATACAATATTAACACTTTATTTCACTATGAACATTGTTGTACTTTGATAGTCAGTGGCTACTAATATGATTTTGCGATTTAGAGTTTGCTAATAATACTTTCATAAAATTATAGTATTGAGGGAAAAGTCTGAATGTGCGAATATGAAACCAACTTTACCTCTATCCATTTTAGCATCTGTATTAAATTAAATATACAGAAGTGATTACAAATTCATACTAAGCTTATTAAATGCAAGTAAAGTGCAACAAGTAAATGTTTAAACAACTTGTACAAACAAATATGTGAACATAACATGTCAAAATATGGGTGAAATATATAGTGTAATATAGCCTGTGCTCATTTAAATGTGCAAAGGAATCATCATACTATAGTAATACTATGAAAATTAAAAAGAATTTTGGGGTGCCACTAGGATTTTTAAATATGTTTTAATATGTTATTAATCAAGTCATTGTTTTATGTATAAGCTGTTATACTTAACCTCTGTATTACTGAAAGAAATGTAGTGGTCATTTTCTGTAAACGATTATGAGTAATGTTTTATAGCTTTTTTCCTAAATGAACGAATGAAGGATAGTTAATTACAGTTATAAAGGTGACAGTGTAATGTATGAGGAATCATTTTTTAAAAGGTTTATTACACTTTTTCTACTTGTTTCTACTTTGATTCCTGTTAATTTACATGTTTAAATATACAATTAAATATATTAACTATATAATAAAATATAGTTATTATAGAATAATACACATCATCACTGTCAAACTTTTAAATAATAAACTTTTTTTTTTTTTTTTTTTAGTTGGCTGGGGAGCAGAGCAAGGCGTTGGAGGATTTGGAGATGATCCCGGGATTAAAGCACAACTTCTAAACCTTATTCGCTCTGTCAGGACAGTCATGAGAGGTTTGTTCATTTATAGAGTGCTAATATTGAAGTTTACTACTAATCATTCCCCATTATTGATGATGGATCACCTGTAGGGCTAAGCAATATAACTTAATTATACTGAGTTTATTATAAAGTGATTCTGGGCTCGGATCTATACTATAGTGCTTTTTTTTTTCATTCTTTGATTCAAAGTAAAAGTTCAAAAACGATCTGATCGTTGTGATATTAATATGTTTGCACAATCTCTGCAAATTCACCAGCATCATGTCGACAGATGAGCTCATTCAATTTACGGTGCAAATACGAAGTGATAGTTTGATGTATTTGAGACTACAGCCTTATTAGATCTGATTATGTGAGACTTAATGAATCAATTAATGAATAAGCTAGCTCTTTTTCTATGCGTGAAACTTTTAATTTACAGTGCAAACTAGATCTTTTACAGTATATTAAACAATGTAAGTATTTGTTTCATGTGTTGTATTTATTTATGTTTTCTTCTACAGTTCCTCTGATAGCAGTAAATTCAGTCTGTATCGTCTTACTTTTGTTGTTTGGATGAAGAAAGAATGGACTGCGGTGGATGAAGATCTAATGTGGAACACTGATTGTGGCAACGGAAAATGACCATTTTTTTTTTTTGTATCTGTGGTTCTAAATGTTGCTCTCCAATGTCTCAAAATTGTATCCGAATGAATTACTGTAAGTACTCTGGTAGTTTTATATGACTAAAATACCAGTAAACGTTTTCCTTTTCACGCTTTCGTACCTCTATAAAAGCTCCCGTGTGTTTACGTGGGGTTTTTTTTTTATTTACATCCAGGGTCTAGTAAAGTGTCAGTTGCTCAGGCATAACTTTTTTGTTCCAGTAAACAACAGAGAAATCAATCAGCTTTCCTTCACCAAAAGCCATACTGTTGTCTTCATTTTTCACTTCTTTTTTTGTTTTTTGTTTTGTTTAACCTTTTTTAAATGTCAAATTTCCCAAGTGAATTTCCTATCATTTCAGTTTCAAAGACCACTTGGAAAGTTAAATCTGGGTTTAATATATTTAAAGGCATATGGGTAAAATCTTTGCATTTTAATAAAGATGTGCTAAAGGTATGTTGTTAATGGAACGTTTCATTGTTTCTGCTTTTTTTTTTTTTTTTTTTTTAGAAATAGGTTAATCTTTCATTCTCAGTTTTACTGTTTTAAATCTATTCAGACTATTTTTGGCTGGAGCACTTTTTGCTTAGCATTAATCATTGAATTGGATTAAACCATTAGCATATCTCTCTCTTCCAAAAAAAAAAAAAAAAAAATGTTGATAATTTTCCTATTTAAAGCTAGACTCTTCTGTTGTTACATTGTGTGTAGTAAGACCAATAGAAAATGTAGGTGCAATGATATTACAGTGTTGCTACCTAACTCTGGAGTATTTTCAGTCACTACAGCCACGGTACAGCAGCAAAGTTCCTTGATTATCACACCAGAATGAGTGTATGGCTTCTAGCCATATCAGATTGTTCATGTTATGTCTGTCTTAATGGATGATGTGACTACAGAATAGGACAGCTTTATCAAAAAATTATTAAAACATTTTCTTTCTTTTTGTCGTTAAGTGAGATGCTAATGGTCTGATTTGATTCAACGATTTATGCTTAGCTAACCTGAAAGTGTTGCTGCCTGACCCAGAGATTGGCTAATGGATTGAAAACAATTGTAAAAACTCTAGGAGAATTGTAAGATGAGCATATTTCCAAAAAAGTGGGAGAGTTCCTATAAGAATTCCAGCTTTAATACACAAAACATTTGATCAGAAGGGGTTGACAATATGACCAGAGTAGCCTCTATGCTTACAGCCTGTCATTATTATTTTTATTATTATTTTCAGATTTTAATGAAGCAATTTAATAGATTTTATCTCTTAAATGTATGTTGGAGGCTTCTTGTCTTTTTTTTTTTTTTTGTACTAATTTTGCCATCCACGTTCAGTCAGCATTTAGGAAGTCAAATAGACCCAAAAAGAGCAAACACCAATTTTCTGTTGGTCTTTTTATGCAGGACAATGAGCTATCACACAGCAAAATAAGATTAAAAATGTCTACTAGCATGGTATAGCCACAACATAAAGGTATAGTTTAAAGTTTCACCTTCAAGTGGGTCCATAAATGACTTTACTTCTCAGCTGAACATGAAAGAATATGCATTGAAAAATGTTGGAAACCTGTAACCATTGACTTCCATAGTAGAAAAACAAATACGTAAGAAGTCAATGGTTACTGGTTTTTAACAACTGATTTTGTGTTCAACGGGGATAAAAAGGTTTGTGACAAGTGAAAGATGAACTATTTAACTCTTCAAATTGTGAACACAGAACACTAAATTATTTCTGGAAAAAAAGTATTTTTCCTCAAATTTTGATCACTGTATAGGATATATACACATCTATGATGAGAAGCATATGGAGTCCATTAACAACACTAGATTACTCCATTAGGATTACAGTACTTTTTTATTAACAGTAGCCCAGACCATCATAGATAAAGCGCTAAATTACAACCATATGTTGAGAACAGCGATTAAAGCATAACCCTTTTATAATCTATGCTTGATGGTTATTGCCAAATAAGATAATGTGTCTTCATACTTGCCAATCCCAGATTTATGTCAAGGCAGAAACAAAATTATTATTATTATTATTTTTTTTGCCAACAAATGTACTCCATGTTTATGATTACGATACCTTATTTCCCTCTTACTGTGTTCAATGGAATGTTGTTAAACAATATTCTGCTGTATTAAAAAATGTTGTGCAATAATGTAGACATGTTAGATGCTAAGAGATTCTTAATACTGGTAAAACGGTTGTATGAATTAATGTTCTAAATGCCCTTTAATCCAGCGGGAAAATGTCCAGCATATGTTTTTAATTCACTGAATGAATAATCTGCATTACAGACAACCCTCTTAAATGATTATAAACTGACAGGGTGAAAACAGGTAACAAAAATAAATCGCACATAATCAAACTCGCATTAGCCTCAGCAAGAAGGTCGCTGGTTTTAGCCTCGGCTGGGTCAGTTGGCATTTCTGTGTGGAGTTTGCATGTTCTCCCCGCGTTCGCGTGGGTTTCCTCCAGGTGCTTCGGTTTTCCCCACAAGTCCAAACACATGCGGTACAGATGAATTGGGAAAGCTAAATTGGCTGTGGTTTATGCATGTGAATGTGTGTATGGATATTTCCCTGTGTTGGGTTGCAGCTGGAAGGGCATCCACTGTGTAAAACAAACGCTGGATAAGTTAGCGGTTCATTCCGTTGTGGCGACCCCAGATTAACAAAGGGACTAATAAAGAAAATGAATGAATGAAACTCGCATTATATGCTAAATCAAGTTCATTATTCCGTAGTTCGACTTGTTTTTGACAGGCATTTCTGGAGACAGCAAAATGTAAGACTGCACAGAAAGGACCCCAGAAGGAAGTAAGTGTAGTTCGTAGATATATGTGCAATAACTTGTGCTAGTCAAATGTATTTTATAATGATTGGAAATCGTTTTGCATTGATTTATAATGCAGCAGCGGGGTTTCATGATAAAAAACAATGTATTAAATAAACTCAATCCAGGTTTATGTTTTAAATTCGTTGCATTATTAAACGGCTGTTAAATGATTTGTGGCGACCAGCTTTAACGTTACCTCATCCGAAGCCCATGCTGTTTGGCAGCTAGGTTTAAATAAATGTACGGTTTCCAAATCCCGAAAACGATGTCAAACACAGATGATGAGATAAACGTTGTTTTTGGAGACCATTCATTGTGTTTAATCCAGACTTCACAGTGAATAAGAGCATTAATTGTTAAACTGACAATATGATCCAGGGATATGACTGCAAACGTCTGTCACGTTTATCTACTTGTTTTTTTTCTTTCTCTTCCATTTAGTCCATCGACAGTGGCTAAATATTAAACGTAAACAGGACATCCGTTAATAAATGTATTATTCTTGGCATGTTTGGTGCTTTAAATTCATTATCTGAAGAAAAATATCAAAATGACGTATTGAATTAAAAGTTGATGTATTAAAAGTTTGCAACTAACGTGCATGTGGTTTAATGTTCTGTTTTATAATCTACTGATAATGTTTCTTAAGAATTCACCGAAATTGGCAACGTCTTTATAAAATATAAAACCAACAGCTGCCAGACTAAAATAACAAAACAAACAAACAAACATAAAAAGGTTTACAATTTAAACAGTATTGTTTTTCGTAGTTTCTAATAAAGTAAGTTGTGGAGTTTGCATGTTCTGTGTTCGCGTGGGTTTCCTTCGGGTGCTCCACCACAATTCCAAAGACATGCGCTATAGGTGAATTGGGTAGACTAAATTGTTAGTGGTGTATGTGTGTGTATGGATGTTCCCCAGTGATGGGTCGCAGCTAGAAGGGCATCTGCTGAGTAAAACATATGTTGAATAAGTTGACAGTTTGTTCCACTGTGGCGACCCCAGATTAATAAAGGGATTAAACCGAAGGAAAATGAACGAATGAAATTAAGTTATTTAGAAAAATGTTTGAAACCTGTAACCATAGTATTTGTCCTACTAAGGATGTCAATGGTTACAAGTCTCAAACATTCTCCAAAATACTTTCTTTATGTTAGACAGTAAAAAATAAAAGGCATAAATGTTTGGAACCACTTGAGGGTGAGTAAATGTTCATTGTTGGATGAACTATCACTTGTAGTTTTTATGTTGTGCTACAGAATATATGTAAACAATGAACTATGCTGGGGCAACGCAGTGGCGCAGTAGGTAGTGCTGTCACCTCACAGCAAGGAGGTCGCTGGTTCGAGCCTCGGCAGGGTCAGTTGGTGTTTCTGTGTGGAGTTTGCATGTTCTCCCTGTGTTTGCCTGGGTTTCCTTCGGGTGCTCCGATTTCCCTCACAGTCCAAAGGCATGTGGTACAGGTGAATTGGGTAGGCTAAATTGTCCATAGTGTATGAGTGTGTATGGATGTTTCCCAGAGATGGGTTGCAGCTGGAAGGGCATCCGCTGCGAAAAACATGTGCTGGATAAGTTGGCGGTTCATTCCGATGTGGCGACCCCATATTATTAAAGAGACTAAGCGAAAAGAAAATGAATAAATGAACTACGCTTAAAGTCACTATAAACCGGAAGGCTTTTTTTTTCATATTGTGATGCAGTTCCTATAGAAAAGAATATTTAATGAGAAAACAGTGGGCGTGGCTTGGTTTACTGCTGTGAGCTGAATGGAGTAGACATTGTATTCAGAAAGATCGGGAAAAGGGTTTCAGGAGAGTTATGACTCCTCCTGCTCACTGTTTTTGTTGTCAAAACTGACAATTGGAGGGACCTGATTAAGTCTGTTAGCCACGCCAAATACTTCACAATCAGGTAATCTGACAATATGACCGGAAAAAAAAAAGGAAGTGTTTTTACAGATTTCAATTTTAGATTAGAAGGGAAAACTTTTTTGTCTTAATGATATGAACATGAATTGTTCACCACAAATCTAGCAACGTAGGCTAACAAAATCAATGTTTAATTTCACAGGGTCTTTAAAAGTGTAGGATGAAAGTTGTAGCATACTGTAGCATACATGCTCTTATTTTTGACAAAGTCAGTAGCTTATAAAATAAAACACAAACAAATTATGTATTTAACACTCTACCGCATGGTGTTGCCATATGGCAACATGATATTTATGTTCATTTCCCTGTCACTGTTTCTTTAAGACCAACATTGCATTTTTTTGTTGGAAAGAAAAGACTTCAGTTTAGCCAATGATGTGCTTTGGTTAAGTCAGATGACAAGCAGTGTTTTTCTTTAGCACGATTTCTGACAGACTGGCATTTATTGTGAGTAGTTGCTGAATGCAAATGTAAACATTAATAAAACAAAGGATCAAATAGGGTATATGCCGAAGTATGCGAATAGGACTTTTAATTTGCCAGTAACCTGGGTTAAGCGCTTCCGGTGAACTGTAGCTGCGTCCCAAATGGCACACTATACACTATGCACTCATGTACTATGTACTTATGCACGTACACACTCAACAGGATAGTATATGTATGTAGTGTCGTCCCAAATGGCACACTAATGTTTTTTACTAAGCGGAAATTCAAACCGTTTCCCTAATGACGTTTGACAGTTGCCAAATCCGTGAAATAAACGACCGAATTATCAGATAATACCTGCCGTGAGTATATCCGGATTCACCATCGGGAGGCGCTATAATCACTCTCATAGGAGAATTTTGCTTTCACCATCCAAAATAAATAAAGTTATCCAACATAAGCGGTAGATAGCTCCGCCCCTTCTGCTACGTAAGCAAACCTGCGGTCGTTGAGTGCGTGAAGTGTCCATCGTTACACACTTCGTTTTACGGCTGAATGAGTGCATCATCCGGGTAATTAAAGTGCACTTGTGATTTTTAGACTTTTCAGTGCGAACACACTACTTACACTATTTCTACTACAAAATGGCGTAGAATAGTGCATAAGTATGCGATTAGGGATGCAGCTTGTATATGCCAATGCAAAAATCAGCGCGTTTAAGGTCGTGCTAGCCTGCCGATTCTGACAGGCAAGTCCGAGTAAAAGGCCTTTTGTCTCATTTTACACTTGAACAACTAAGTGAATGCCAAGGTTTATTCAACTGAATGTATTTTAATTACATTACATTTACATTTAGTCATTTAGCCGACGCTTTTATCCAAAGCGACTTACATTACTACATTGATGCTGTAAAAGGAACCGTATAAAATGGGGAAAAAATTACAATAACAGGTCACCGGAAGTTTATCAGTATGGGAACAACACTAGCTCGGCATATACCCTATGATGTCCGATACACAAAAAATCTGAAACATCACCTCCAGTTAGTTATGATGACATATTTACAATTCAAAATCTTTTTTTATCAAATTAGTTTTTTGTAAATCGATCAAATGTATGTGTTGCCAAATGGTATATATATACAGGGAACAGTGTATTAGCGAGCACCACCATGCTCTACGATAAGTGAAACAAGAAAAAAGGACAGAACTGGCTCTTCCTGCAAATGAAAGTAGGGATGAGATGGGTTTTAGTGACCATTAGAATGATGCAGACTGGATATTTAATAAGTGCAGTGATGAAGACAGTTAGCTCTGAGGCAGATAAGACAGTATAAAGTATAATATATAAATATTGTTAGCTAGGAGCTACATTATTCTGATGCATCTGGAAATACTAGACTTGTTATTTATTTGTTACAGTATTTACTGGAAAAAATACTTTTATTAATTTTTTTTTATTTAAAAATAATGAAATAAATGAAAGCTGTTGGAATGTTTTTTTTTTATTTATTTATTTTTTTAGATCTATACTAATACGTGCAGTAGAGCGTTAAAACACAGCTATCATGGCAAACCCAAAGAACTGATGACTTTGAAGTGGTCTCTTAATTTTTTCCCGAGCTGTATAATGATGTGTTATCTCGCCAGGTTCATCTTTCAGTATGGTTTGATGTGTGTTGTAAATGATGGCTCGCCGCACACTAAAAGCAGTTCTCATTGATCTGAGCGGGACTCTTCATATCGAGGACACTGCAGTTCCTGGTGCACAAGAGGCTTTAGCGCGGTCAGTGGCGATTGCTTAAATTTTTGCAGCTTGTATGGCAGGCCAATTTAATGTTTAATCTATAGAGTGGAGGAACTATGACGTCACTTTGTAGGCTAATCGGCTGCTAGCGTAAAACTGGTTCCCTCGTGAAAATCCCTATGGGATTTTCCCATAGGCTTTTCGAAGATTGCAAATAATAAGCTCTGTGTTCAAACGCTGTTCATTACACTTACACGTTTTGTCCAGTCGGATAATCGTCACACGAAAATACAACTTTGAGCACTTTTGGATCTTAAATTCAAACGCAAGAATTGAAAAGCTAACATTAGGCTATAAACAGACTACAGTGCCCTCAGGGCGCTTGTCTATGACGTCAGCCCCACCCTGCAAAAGCCGACTTTTCAAGCTTATTTTTAGAAATGTTGTCCATGACAAAGAGTTAATCTCTCTGTTTATGATATTATAATCCTCGGTATATATTATAAACGAATAAATACGCAAAAACACATAGACCTATGTGCCTTTTTGATCGTTTTTACATGGGAAATACATCTGTTTTGCTTTGCGGTTGATCTATAAGTTTTAAAACTGTGTGTATTCTGCCTACAAAGTATTATCATAAGACATATTTAAATAAGTGTATCGCTTGCGTGCACACAGCCTGCTTACCCTAACAGATGACAGAAAACAGGCGTGAGGGACAAGTCTATCAAATGCCTGAGCACAAAGCAACATTCAATATTCCTTTTTTGTCTCGAAGTACAGTGAAAAGCAGCCCATACAGTCACATATGCTATACATTTTATGGAGGAGTGTAAATATTGCAGTTATGACTGAGTTAAATGTGTTCGGTTGAAGAAAAAAAGACGAAAAATCACTTGATCACGTGAAAATGACAGTTAACATGCATGTATTCTTTCACATTTATTCATACGTTTGCATTACTGAGAGCAGGAAAAAGACAGGCTGCTCTAGTAAGCATTTTCTACATAATATTGTTTATTAAAATAAATGATCAACAAATGAATCTGTCTCGACAGCCTTTACAAGAGAAGGCATTATCTACACACAGTCTGAATTCCAAATTCGAATAATACTACAAACTATAAAATACTATTCATGAAAATACCTAAATAACAGACAAATACAAATGCCCAACACAGGCGAGCTGCGCTCCAGACAAGTTCAGCTCGATGACGTATTATGTCTCCGACACCGCCTGTAGTCCCATTTAGCAACTTGATAGCAAGCGTCTTTTTAAAGAAGTATAGCCGATTTAAAAATTTAAGAGTGTACTGTAACTGATGTGTTTTATGTCGTAGAATAAAACGTGAAAGTATCTTGAGTTTGTGTTTGCCACAAGTGAAGTTTATTCATAAACTAATTTCGAGAGGAGCACGTGATTATGATTGAACACAGCTGGTTCTGCATTAGCATGCATGATCCACCAATCAGGCCATTCCTAACCCACTATAAAAAACCAGGGTTTTTTCACTACAGTCATCTTCGATTTGAAAAATCCCCCCTTCCACCCCTACCTTCTCACCTTTCCCTCCATAGGGCAGCACGGTGGCCCAGTGACTAGCACTGTCGTCTCACAGCAAGAACGTCACCGGTTCTAGTCCTTTAACAGGCTGGTGGTCGTTTCTGTGTGTAGTTTGCATGTTCTTCCCGTGCTTGCGTGGGTTTTCCCCGGGTCCTCCAGTTTCCTCCCACATTCCAAAAACATGCACAACAAGTAAATTGATAAATCTAAATTTGCAATACAGGTAATTTCCTAATGCAGCATATCTTTTAATAGCATTTAGTTTTTAGTCATCAGCTCTTATCAAGGGGGAGTTCTCGAGATCTACCTGAGCTCAAGGCTCCCCTCTCTTCCTCCAAACGGGAGGGAGCCCAGTGCGCAAGAACCTTTGAGCTCAGGGCTCTCTCCCGGGACAGCATGCCAAACTTGCTTATAATCAATCATCAGCTAAGTGTGAACTCTTAAAACCTTATTTAAGCGATTTTACTGAAACCCTATTGAAAAAACCCATTGACTTTGGGACGAGGCATACAAATTGACGTCATAGTTCCTCCACTCTATAAAACACACTTATGTTTTCTAGCTAGTACTCAGGGACGGATTGGCCATCTGGCAATTTTGGCAAATGCCAGAAGGGTCGGACCATTTTTTCGATGTGGGCTGGTCAGTTTCTTTTTAATTTAATTTAATTTTTTGTATGTATTGTTTTACATGCTGGCAGTTTTAATCTCTTGCAAGAAGTGTATATTATGATGATGATGATAGCTGTAATAATAATAATAAATGTTAAGCATTTGGCCCAATCGGCAACAGTCAGCTGGTTTTGAGATGGGCTGACCCAATTTGACCTAATCAGAGGTTGCGTGTTCGTGAGTGGGGCTGTGTCGGTGTGATAATGTGGGCTGGTGTGGCTACAGTGCCAGGGCTGATTTTTTTTTGTCCCAGTCCGCCCCTGCTACTACTACTACTACTACTTTTTTTTTTATATACGAATAAATGCTCTGCTATGAACTTATACAACAGCTACAAGTGCCTATTTTATTCACTATATTTTTCATAAAAATTAAAAACTGCTTTTATTCTAGCTGTAATAAAAAAAATAAGACTTTCTCCAGAAGAAAAAATATTATCATACATATTGTAAAAATTTACTTGGCTTATAATTCTGACTTCAGCTGTTATTGGCTTTCTAATGAGCTAAAAATCTACTTTTTATTGTCATTTTAAAAAGACACCTTCTTACATGTGGTATAAAATCACTAATTAGACATGCATTTTTCTCTCTAGATTAAGACAGGCTCCAGTTGCTGTCAAATTCGTGACCAATACCACAAAGGAATGTAAAAGGACGTTGTTTGAGCGTCTGCGTGGGCTGAACTTTGACCTCCAGGAGCAGGAGATCTTTACATCTCTCACTGCCGCACGTAATCTAGTGGAGCAGAAAGCAGTGCGCCCCCTGCTGATGGTGGAGGACAGTGCTCTGGAGGACTTCACAGGTCAGATCTACTGCATCTTCACTAATACACACTCAACATCTACAACTATACAATCACTATACAAAAAATCCTTGAAGATTAAGGGTATGATTACACTTAATAAATATATGTATATTTATTTATTAGTGGTGGGCCGTTATCGGCGTTACCGCAAGACACTTCATCAGGCTATTAAAATAATATCGCCTTAGTGCGGATGTATACCTGACTGGTGAATCGTCTGACAAAAAAAGTGCCCTTCTGAATCAAGTCAGCAGGATGCCCTCTGGATCTTTCACTTACTTCGAAGACACCACTGACCAAGCTT